ATCGTATTACTATACTGGATTACTAATAATATTGCGGCTGCCCACTGATAGGAAATTACAGGCGTTCTAGACGTTGATGGAAACATGTGAGAGTGGTGAGTGGTGAACTAGAGTCACGAGGATCGGGAGATATAGAGTGCGATATAGCCAAAAATATATATGTACCTGGACGTGATGCGGCCATGAAGCCGAGGCGCGCCGAGGATTGACACTTTGTGTCTTCCAATCACAGCCTACGCCGCACCAGACTTTGATATTTTTAAATATGGGGACCCATTGGACCACCAAATCGCCGATTTCAGGAACTAGGGCATTCTGCTATGTTAGAACGGTTTCCTACGATAGAGTTTGCCACAAATACGAAAATAACACGCTGTTTAGCGCACTGCGCTACGTCCTTCTGATGAATTTTCGCATTTCCGTAATCAGAATAAGCCCCGCCTTCTTCGTTGATAGACATGAATGGGGGGGGGGCGTCACCGACGTCACCAGTTACTGTACCAACTGTCTTTTGCCGGCCTGTTTACTTTTCGTAAATAATGAAATGCCGCATGAATTTCGCATCGAAGTGGAAAATTTTCGGCATTTTCACTCGCTGTCGGAAGTGAACGAGTGCGTCATTCATTAAACATTGAAGTTTTTTTTTCAAATTAAATAATTCCAAAAATCCCTAACCGCGCTACTCGATTGTTTTAGCCAATGAACGTAGCTGTGCGTGTGACGTCTTGCCCGCGCGCTTTATAGCCGCGTTCACACGGAGCGAAGGAACTCGGGTCGAAAACGTCCCGTGTCAAATGCGTCCCGGGACGAGCGTTCACACGGACGTTTTCTCGGGTCGAAAACGACTCGAGTCCTGGTTCATTTTTGCCGTGTGAACGCGCGACTCGGGTTGGAATTAGTACGTCACAACACGAAAGTAAACAGAATAGTTGGAAGTCAGTCAGAAGAGTTTGATTGTTTAATTCGCATTGTTCGCTTGGACGCAATTGTATTTTTTTTCTCAGCTCATAGCTCGCATAGCGTCGTGTGAACGCTTTCTTCAACGACGCTCCGTGTCGTTTTCGACACGGGTCGTTTTCGACCCGAGTTCCTTCGCTCCGTGTGAACGCGGCTTATGCTTGGCTTAGCGGGCCTCGAAATGGATATCGGAGGCAGGCACCTCGCAACACGCTAGTTTACATATAGCTTTGTGACGTACGGTGTTCGGGAGTTCTGCGATGATGACCTCGTAATTTATCAGCATTTCTTAAGGTGCAAGGAACATTTTACCAATTTAGTGGTGTCAGTTAGTCACGGATATGTCACAGTAAGTACTAACCGTATATGTTTCACATACGTTCATCTATTTTGCACACAGGCGGTCGATCATTGTGAAAAATTGTGTAAATATTTATTTTTATTGAGACGTTCTAAGTGCCTGTGCTTTCAACAGTCTTGTACGTCAATGCACGTGCGTCAAAAGCCACAAACACAACACAATTTCATCTCTGTTATTGTTGACGCCTGAATGCGTGATTGATCAGGGAGGGGTGCATGTAAGAGGGAGACATTTTCTTTGGGGTTCCGAAAAACACAATTCCACTTAACAATTTCATGGGCCATTTCAATTGGAAGCTCTGCATAATGGACCCCAACAAGCCCTTTGACTGACTAGTCAAGAAATTCAAAGGTCTGTATATTGCTCTTATTTAGCCACCGATAGTTCTTATTTAGAACAAAGTCTTCATTGTTATCTTCTAAAACTACAGACCACTCGCTGACCGCTGTGGAGACGTGCGCCGGGCTTCGAATTTGGCGCACGTCGCCACTGCGGATAGCGCTTCATAGTTGAACATCCCCGCGGTCGCGTGCGCATATCCCGCGGAACTGCGCGTCTTGTAATGAAGCAAAATCCCACAGCTATTTAACATACAGATTAGCAAAGGCAAGGTAGGCTTGTGACAGGCCTGGCCTTGTAAATAACAGATTACTCTTTGGAGACTGGAACCACCACGGTGCGTAGTTCCAGGTAGGACAATAGATCCTCCCCCTCCCTATCGAAAGTTAGCAACAGTGGTCAGTTCTGACCAAGGTGTGCATGACCTACTTTAGTTACGTGATATAGCGGGTTAATTGACGTGAAAGTCGATTAAAAAGAAACGTTTTCGAACAGAGAGTCAGAGTCGCACTCAGCAACCTTGTGAGTATGGGTTTATCTTAGCATTGTCTTGCGTATCTTATACTGTGTGCATATGTGTTTTAAACTCTATTGACATAGTATTCTATGTTTTAAACTGTATTGAGATAGTACTCTACGTTTTAAACTTTATTGAGATAGTATTCTATGTTTTAAACTCTATTGAGATAGTATTCTATGTTTAAACTCTATTGAAATAGTATTCTATGTTTAAACTCTATTGAAATACAGTGTTCTCTGTTAAGCGCTATTGAACGTCAGCTGAATCTGTAGATTTCTTTGAGTCGGAATCTTGGAGTCTAGGTACGTAAACGAACGTGTACGTAACATTTGCCGTAGAAGTTTATAGCATTCTCTGTACTACTCAGTGAGAGACCCAATAGAACTATTTGTTGTACGTTATACTTGGTGTTTGTCATACGTTCTTCCACGTCTGTCTATTAATCGTGTTAACCTAAGGGTCTATTGCCCGTGCCAAAAGCAGAACCTGGTACCTATACGATCATAGCTACATCAGAACTGGTGCCGTAACCAGGATTAACACTGTCTCCAAAGAGTAATCTGTCATTTACGAGGCCAGGCCTGTCACAAGCCTACCTTGCCCTTTCGAGTCTGCATGTTAAATAGGTGCGGGATTTTGCTTCATTACAGTCTCATCCGCGCGCAGCGCTCAGGATCAACAGCAAAGCTGTGCCACGCAATCTTGTATTATGTCTCTCTGGATAGATGGGTTGGTCAAAGAATGGGTGTGATTATGAGTGGAGATGTGAGTGGGAGGACAAGTGGAGGGACAGATGGGTGGATGGAGGAATGAGTGGATAGAGAGACCGTGAGATAGGCATAGAGAGACTGATAATGTGTAGGTGAATGTTTGGCAGATAAGGTTGGCGTATGTATAGATGGATGGATTGATGTAAGGATGGATGGATGAATGGCCGAATAGATAGATGGATGAATGGACGGACGGGCCCGCTTGGCCCTGGCTTGCAACCGGCTACATATTCGGCTAATTACTACAACCAATTAGTAAACTACTTCCAAACAGGCAATGATGTCGTGTTAGGCTTATATTCCACTTTCTCAGCTAACGGACAGCGTGATGGCAGGGAAGCTTACATGAACCAATTACCGTGTGGCATCGTTGATACACCTGCATAATAATGAATGTCTGGCACGCACAGAAATCAAAGTCATTACATATACCACACCCCGCCCCCATATCCACGATACTACACACGCGCGCGCATGCACACACAAAAGCAGAGACAGAGTTAGAGAAAGCTAGTCAGATAGACAAACATACAGGCAGACAGACAGACGGATAGCGAGAGAGTAATAGAGGAATAAACTTGCGAATGATAGCGCATAGGAAAAGTTGGCGAAACAATATGGTGGGGGCGCGCAGGTACAAGAACTAAAATATTCATCGAGCTAGAATGACTTTCGTAGCCAGGTCTACATAGCACGTTAGAGGTTTCCAATTGATATTGCCACTAGAGTGCGTGGCAGTCTTTGTCGGGGATCTGGTAGTAATGCACATCGCAAGGAGATGCTGGAATATGAGTAACAGTCGAACTTTGTTCCCAGTGCAGAACCGACTATTTCCTTTATGAAATGTGTGTCCGTCATGAAATTCCGCCATGAAATGTGTGTATGCCAGTAATCATTCAACTGTCGGCTTAATCTGGCTGCCATAATCCTTCTCGCGTGCGCCCATTCGAAACGTAGATATCACAGATGCAGTTGGAATTTCACGCAAAACGGTTAAATGTTTAAATTAAATTTTCAATCGTCTTGGGATTAGACTGAGAGAAGACATTTGTCTGATTTATTCCCTGTGGTTATTACTGCTCATAGGGTCTATGTCCCCCAGGGTTCTACCGGAACGTACCCTGGGTAACTATCTGATATGGTTAGAGTTAGGGTTAGGGTTAGGGTTAGGGAGTAGGCGTAGGCGATTCCCTAGACTCGTTAGTGGAGTAGGCGAAGTACGATCCGGCATATTAGATAGTACCAGGGTACGTTCCGGCAGTACCCTGGGGGGCATAGACCCTCTCAGCGTTATTACTCCGTTTTGCCGAAGAAGGAAGAGTGAAATCCTAGCAATCATCTGTTTTTTTGCAGAAAGTTGAGAGATTATACAAATACGGGGACACAGATTTCATGTTTATGGTTAAGCGGATATTTTATAGCCTATGCATGAAATGTATGAAGATCGGATGTAATTTTTTTACACATCGCTTATTTTATTACATCGAGCATGTAGAAGGAACGCACGCAGTAAACGCTGATAACGCATAATAGAGCAAGTTTGACCCAAGAAAATGGTATAGAATCCTCGTAAACATCTGTGTAATCGCATTTTACGAGTGTTTTACAATGAAACGAGCTCGTTTGTTGTGCTCATAAACAAGCATGCCTCTATTTCACATGAATTCAATTGGTACTTGATAATCCCGTGAACCACAAAAAACACCGTTGACGTTTTGTCTACACAGATCCGCGTGACTGTACCGGACTAATTTTATTCAATATAATATATACTTATTGATATATATATATATATATATATATATATATATATATATATATATATATATATATATCAAACAGGCTCATACCAGATATATCACTATTCGACATAGCATGCGCTTATGCATTTTGCATAGTGATATACCCAAACAGGAAAGTTCTATGTGAAGAAACGCCATCACGCTAACGGACCCCACATCATTACCAAGCGTTCTAATAATAGTATCTATAATTATCATCGTAACTATGAGTATATTATGATATCAGCAACCTTGACCGATTCCCGTTGCAGTGACGGATGGGCCGACCGCGATGACGTCATAGAGAGTTACGAAGTCGAAGCTGAGGGAGGCATCTCCATACGAATTCAGTCACCGACCGTCGAGGACTTTGACGACTACTACTTCTCGCTAAAGCCGTTCCAGAATCCTCGCAACCCGTGGTGGGAAGAATTCTGGGAGCAAAGGTTTAACTGCACTTTCACACCGACGCCTGGTGTACGGGTGTGCACAAGTAAGCGCTATATATTGGCTTTGCGTGCATGAGTTCGTCTCTGTGCGCATAATATATATATATGTATATATAGCTCATATGTACGTTATATATATATATATATATATATATGCACGCACATGAATAACATAAACAAACAAACAGAATTTGGCATAGTAGTAACCACGGATCTATATCTATATCTCTCACTCTCTCTATTTATCTATCTAACTAGCTAGCTCTCTGTCTGCCCCCCCCCCTATCTCCCTATCTCGCTATCGATATATAATATATATATATATATATATATATATATATATATGTATGTATATACTTTACCCTCTCTCTCCCTCGTTTTCGCGCTCTATACATGCGCGACGATTCTCGTCCCAACAGAGAACGAGGACCTGCGCGAAGATTACCGACAGGACACGAAGATGGGCTTCGTCATCAAGGCGATCACGACGATGGCTCACGGGCTAGACAACATGCACCGCGACGTGTGCGGCGGCAGACCGGGCCTGTGTCGCGACATGAACCCCATCAACGGCACCATGCTGCTCTCGCATCTCATGAACGTCAGCTTCTCGATGAACGGACAGTCGGTGTTCTTCAACCAGAACGGCGATCCGCCTGGCAGGTGTGTGTGTGTGTGTGGGTGTGGGGGGGTGTAGTGCATGTGTGTGGGGGGCATGTGTGTGTGTGTGTGTGCGCTGCGTGCGCGTGCGTCTGTGTGTGTGTTGTGCGTGCGTGCGTGCGTGGCGTGCGTGTGTGTGTGTGTGTGTGGTGTGTGTGTGTGTGTGTGGTGTGTGTGTGTGCGCGCGCGCACAGCCGCGCGCGCGGTGGCATACGTACACACGTACCTACTCGTGCGCGTGCGTACGCGCATCATAGATGTTTCTTTCGCGTAACCTTTATCAACAAATGCTTATTACTGTCGAAAAACTCGCTGTCCTTCGACAGAGCGTCTGCGCGGAATAACCGAGCTAAGTCTGGATTTAAATACGGTATATAACTTCCGATAATTTCCACTGAAGACTCGATAAACAATACATAAGTGATATTTCAGAAATAGACGTCGCGCACAATTCTCAGCCATCATGCATGACGACCTGCGTCGCTGCCTTTAGAGCCGAATCGATGCACTAATTCCAGTAGAGTAGCATATATTATCAGCCGCTGATGGCGATCCGAAAACAACAGAGCAATTGTAACTTTCCTATGAAGCTGTTCGTACGATCGCAGTCCCATCGGGGTATTCATCGTACATGAGCACCAGTATATATATATATATAACACACACACACACATATATATATATATATATATATATAATATATATGTGTTGTGTGTATATATATTTAGTATATAATATTATATACATATATACATATACTGCCACGGCTGAACGCTTCGTGGTTTAATTCTCGATCTCATTCATCATACATCATGATTCAGCGATTTCAGGCAGAAATTATTAATATCTAAATTCCATTTGATCGTATTATACACGAATCATAATCAGAAAGGAAATAGAATGCATGACGGTCTAATGAATGCGAACGAATTAATAACGCTGCCGCCGGGCGAATTCAAAATTAAATATTATTGTGGGTTACGTTAGTATTACCGTTATAACTTGTGATAATTCTATACGTAATACGAGATTTAATATAAAACTCAAAAATCTCAGCGATTGTGGTCGATAGCGCGGCGCTGTGTGTAGCGATAACCGTGAGTTGTTATTACGGATCCTCATGAAAAATATCTAGTGTAATCTCCCATCTAATTAATCATACAGCTCGCATGACTGAGTTGTACGCACGTTCGATCTCTCTACAATACTAGTCTTTTTTATCTTTCCTGCATTTAGCCGCAGCCACAAGAGCTTTCAGTAATATGATCATCTTCTCGAGATTTAGTGCTAACTCACCGTGAATGCGATATACTGTGTAATAACAATGCAATCGCGACACCTACATATGCTTCACGATACAATTCCTCACATATCTGTAATCTCCATTATGAACGCCTATCCTGCACACGTCATCTATCCGTTAGCCCACACGAAGGCCTAGCCTGTACACCATATAACAGGTTCGCAGTGGCTGCGCGTCTTCTATAGAAATCTCACGTGTGAGATGGGCTAAATGTTAGCTTAGACGCACTTCTTCCCTATGCATTTCTTACGCATCACCATTTTTGCGCGCACAAACACCAACATGTACTGTGTACGTGTAAATATCTGTGCGCGCACCCTACCTAACTACCACGCACGCACACCTCGCGTGAACAAATCACCAGCACAACACATCTGTCCGTATTACCTACTTTCCCATTCGCCTTACATAGTTACCCTACCCGCACACATGATGTGAAGAATGCGGATAATATAAACCATCACGTGATTACCGTACGATTATACGCTCACGCATGCGACCAGTACGTCTGCTCTGCTGTCGCAGGTACGACGTACTGAACTTCCAGCGGAAAGCCAACGGAAAGTACGGCTACCGGCTCGTCGGCACGTGGGATAGCAGCGGTGGAGGGCTGCACATCAACGACTCGCTGATGACGTGGGCGAAAGATCCAGGAAAGAAGCTCATGGAATCGGTGTGCAGCAAGCCGTGCGGCAAAGGTCACGTCAAGGTGAGCGCACGCCGGGCGTAGATGGACACTATATGCTATAATCAGGGGGTTAATAATGACAAATTATCATTATTTTGTTAAAAATAATAAATTAAATTATCATCAAATTTGTCATTATTAACTCATGTATATGTGTGGTGGGTAGATTAGGTGTCAGGGTATGCGTGAGATAGGGTAGACATTAGTGTACGTGCGCGCTAGAGTTAGATATAGATATCAACAAGATATCAATAGGAGTGTATAATATAGAGTGTTTATATTATACACTCCTGATATCAAGATACGCGTGAAGTAGGGTAGACATTCGTGTACGTGCGCGCTAGGGTCAGATAGATATCAAGGTACGCGTGAGATAGGGTAGACATCCGTGTACGTGCGCGCTAGGGTTAGATAGATATCAAGATACGCGTGAGATAGGGTAGACATCCGTGTACGTGCGCGCTAGGGTTAGATAGATATCAAGATACGCGTGAGATAGGGTAGACATCCGTGTACGTGCGCGCTATGGTTAGATAGATATCAAGGTACGCACGAAGTAGAATAGTCATCAGTATACATGAGCGCTAGGGTAAGATATATATGTTCTAAAGTCTGAAGTATTTAGACATTAATATAAGTGCGTGGGGAGGTGGATGTAGAGTATGTGGGGCGAGAGTAATAGCATGTGTAGGTATGAGGCAAACATCAATGTACGTACGTGCGGGGTTTAGTTAGGTAACAATGTACCTGTTAGGTAGGCGGACATTCTAATAAGTGCGTGGTTGGTGTGGATAGATATCCACAGGTTAGTGGGGTGGTGCGAGGTTTGTGGGATTTTTTGAAAGGTGCGTACTGGGGATGGATACAAGTCAAGGTAAGTGCTTGGTGAGGGTGGCTATAAGAAATATAAGTGTGCTTTGGATGGGTAGACATCCCAACCCACGTGTAGGTGTGGGTAGCTATATAGGTGCTTGGTGAAGTGGGTAGACATCACTGTTTGTATAATAGGGTTAGGTTAGAATTTGAGGTATGCACGCGCGTGCGATGGGTAGCCGTCGGGGGAGTTGGGGAGGCGTTATCGTACATGCGTGCGTGCGTGCGTGCATGCGTGTGTGCGTGCATGCGTGCGTGCGTGCGTGCGTGCATGCGTGTGTACGTGCGTGCGTGCATGCGTGTGTGCGTGCATGCGTGCAAGCGTGTGTGTACGTGCGTGCGTGCATGGGTGTGTAGTATGTACGTGCGTGCGTGCGTGCCTGTGTGTACGTGCGTGCGTGCGTGCGTGTGTGTACGTTCGTACGTGCGTGTGTGCGTGTGTACGATCGTGTTGGGTGCGTGCGTGTGTGCGTGTGTGTACGTGCGTGCGTGCGTGCGTGCGTGCGTGTGTACGATCGTACCGCGTGTGTGCGTG